TGAAATGTTAGCCTCTCTTAGTACTTAACTTGTTTGTATTATTTATCAAGAGGTATTTTATTGTAAAATCACTTTGATAAAATATGGATCGTGTTGAAATCTTTTAAAGATCAACATTATATAAGGATTGGTGCTCCTTATTGTAAGTCACCGTGTGAGTCATATTGAAGTTCTATGAAAACCCAATAATGGGTTGTGTTGAGATTCTATAAAGCTCAACATTTTATAAATATCGGTGCTCCTTATTTGTAAGTCATTGAAAGCGTTATAAAGGGTTGGATTGCACCATAAATCAATCAATATAGTAAAAATGCCTTGCTCGTATCGAAGTGGTTGGTAACGGAGGACGTAAATCATTGTTTTGGATCGAACCTCCACAATTATATTGTTTGCATCTTCTCTCCCTTTTACTTCTTGCTTTTATATTTGTGTTTATTATTTGAATTAATCTATTTACTCTTTACTTACTTAAATTTAGATTAATTCTTCCAAAAAAATTTAAAAATTAATTCACGACCCTCTTAGTTAGTTACTCTTGGGCTATCAGCATGGTCAAAAGCTCTAGACTTGTGCCCAAACATCACACTTATTATTACAATTATATGACTTATGCCTCTACCAAGAGGCCAGTTGAAAATATAAAAATAAAAAAAGAAAAAAATTTCTCATCTTCAAAAACTTATGGGCTGTTTTCTTTGTATTTCAGTTTTGTGTTTTAAGTTTTGAATTCATTTTGGGTTTTGTATTTTGGGTGTCCATTTTAAGATTGTTGAAAAAGTATTTTTTTTTGACATTTTGAAAAATAATTTTGAAAACACCACAAACACGTTTTGAAAATTTTGGCTTGATTTGTCGTTTTGGGTGTTTTTTGTAAATTTTTTATTTGTTTTAAAAACACGTTTTTAAAAATAGAAAAGAGAACATGTTTTTACTATTTTAGAAAATCGAAAACAGTAAACGACTTGAAAATGGTAAAGAGAACATGCCCTTAAATTTTAGATGGACCACAAACACTGCTTGAGGACTCACTTTTCCAAACCTGACATAATGAAATCTAATTATACTCTTCATTTATCCCCCACGATGTGCCAAATTTTTAGAGACACATAGACTAGGAGGCATGGTCATCTCCATTGTCTCTCTTCAACATTCCGAAAAACGTAAAACGTGAAAAATCGTAAAGACTAAGAGCGTGTCTGGGTACACTATTAATAAAAAATCGGACCATTGCTCTCTTTTTTTATTCAATATAATCTGACAGGAAGACTGCAAAACTCCAGCCATAAAATGAAAGTTTCCCTATTTACCCCCGCCTCCATTACACGCCTCAAAGAGTCAAAGTTGGTAATAATTGACGTGACAGAAATTGATAGCTTGGAAGACAACAAGGTAATTTAATGCCAAAATTTTTTCTTCCCCGTGCAAGAATTTGTATCCAGTGGGGCCATATGATTTGTCTAGAAAATTGATTTTCTATTCCAAAATCGCGCACAGACACGCCCTAAGTTTCGACCTAGATGAGATTAGGGGTAAAAAAGCGAAAAAAGCAATTTTTGTATTTTAATATTATTTTAAAATTTTAAATTAATTGAATAATTATTTAATAATTAAAAGAAAAAAAACGTAAAAAAATGTAAAAGCATGTCTAGTTGCGAGAAAAAGAATAAAAAAATAAAAAATAAATAAAAAAGTGTGAGGCGAGGCGTTCTGCGCCTGTTTCGTGCCTAAGCAACACCTTTTAGAAAACTGATTTCTCTCGAATTTAAGAACTTTCGATGACGCTCGCCCCGCGCCTAAGCAACGCCTTTTAGAACACTGCTTTCTCTCCATTATAAGAACTTTCGGTGAAAAATTTGAGGGTGCTAACAAAAATATGTGTTGTAAAACTATGCAAAATTTCTTGCTTGCTTTTATTGCTCAAGATTAAGGATCGTGACTTAATCCATGACATCTATGCCCACTAAGAAAACTTTGAATCTAGAATCAAATCTAGTGACAATATTATTGAGCCCGTGTTTTGGCGTCCTCCATCTAACGAAAATATTTTCTACCTCTGCTCAGCACTCAGTAAAACAAGGGCTCATAGAAATAAATTTCAAAGACATCACGCTCGTCAACCATGAACAGAGATGTCAACCAGGCCGGCAGGCCAAACAGATTTCAAGGTGGTCTGTGTCGGGCTACTGCGGTGGTCTCCTACCGGCCATAAAAAAAAATTTCATGTTTTATTACTGCCAACGCACGCCACGTGTTGGACTGTGAAGGTGGGCTGACTCACAACACGGCCTATCACAGCTCAGCCGTGCTTTCATGTGCTAGGTTGCCCAGGCCAGCTAGCTTGGATGGCCCAACACATTTTCAAACCTCTAGAGCAGCCTGGACAGTCGTTTTGATACCTCTATCCGTTGGCCAAGATAATGACAACCATCCAAAAGTTTAGCCCATTTCAGTCAACTCTCCATCATCTTTCTTCAGCTGAGCATATTTCCATGGTGCTCGTTTTTCCAATTATGAAGTGTGACTAAGTGATCCAACTGACATTGAGCGTAGTGCCCAAGTGGTTTGGCTGATAGTGGGCCAAGAAATATTGAATGATGAAAATACATGTAATTACCTCAATCCCATTTAACATAAACATTTCCTTGGACCCCCACCAACCCGAAAATATCCCAAGCTTGGCTACCGTTTATAATTAAACAACTATTTATCACATATTTTGTGGAATTTACAAATATTACTTCCTCGATCATTCATTTTTATATATTGATTTAAACCGTTTATAAATAACTCTCAAACATTTGCCTCAATAAAAAATGGGAAAGGTTCCATTGGGATAGGAAGGGTGTGTAGGGGATGATGATGTCTTGGCGCAGTCAATTTCGAGTTCTATATCTTCCGAGTGTTTGGCAATTTGAAAAGGCTTGAAGTTTGCTAAAGTAAAACGACTACCAATTGGTGTAATCAAATTAGATTCATGCAATGTTGGTGCATCTGTAAATGGACTGTCCATTCATGTTCAAGAATGAGCAATGTTACGAAAATTTCTCTATTTTAGTTCATTTGTCGCTTTTAGTCTTAAATGGTTGGTCCGTTATTTTGTCAAGCGAGCGGTAAATAGTGTGAAACACGTTGTTTGACTCCATCAAATTTATTGCGTCTTGAGGATAGGTGTTTGGAGAATACCGATATTGTGATAATTAATTTGAAAAAAACAATTACCAAAGTAGACACCAAAGTGTTCAACACTACTAAAGAGGGGAAAAACAATAAAAGCTCATCCATTTTATTGTCCAAACTAGTCTAATACAATATATAAAACATCCAACGAACATCTTAAGAGTCTTTCAGTCACAACACGCAACTTTCAATAACTATAAGGACGTGTTCGGTAGAAATTAAAATCAGAATAAAATTAAAAAAATTAGCCGTTATTGTTAACTTTTATTAGACGAGTGAGACCCAATAACGACTATATTTTCAATTTTAATTGAATTTTAAACCCTATCAAACATGCTCTAAATAAAAATAAAACATCCCATAAGGTTGTAAACTTACGAGGTTCGCTCAATCAATATACGATGTCGAATATATGCTCCCACATTCTTCAGTGACTTATATATCTCAATACAAATTCTATGGTCATATACTGACTTGAACATCATGTGCCCGTAGAAAAAAATTTCCTAGCCTTTTTTGCAAGTTATTGTTTAAATAAAATTCCCAAAAAAAAAAAAAAAATAATAATAATAATTTCTCTCTGCCTTAGCTAAATAATATCATGTGTGCCAAGTGAGAGAATTTAAGACCAATTAAGTGGCTCACATATTATTTATAGTGCCGTTTGGATTTTCTTATAATTTTTAAAACAATTTAAAGGTCAAAGTCAAAGTTTCATTTTAACAACACATTAGAATTCACAAGTAGTACCCACTTATTGATCACTCATTTCTATCCGATTATAATTTCAGTAACTTATAATTCAATCCAAACAAGCACTATAATATTAAACCTATAAAGTGTTTTAGTAAATATCACCGTGTTGAAATCCTATTCGTCAATTTGAGAACGGTAGTTTTTGAGCTACGAACTTCGAAGGAAAGTAGGTAGATTTAAGGTATATCGAGAATCGTGTCCATCTACCATTAATGCGTAAGCACAAAATAGGAAGGCGAAGAGAGGAAAATACTTTTTTTTTTTTCATTTCCCTTAATTTTGCAGAATTGATCTTTTCAATAATTTGCTGAGGTCAAGGTATGTTTACTAATTGATTTATGTTTTCTTGAAAAACATTAAATTCCAAGATTTGACAATTATGATTTATGTAGACTTTACATAAATTATTTGAATGTTACATCACTCAAGAAATGAAACCAAGCATTGAAACTTTAGATGGTTTTGATAGCAAAAATGTACTCAAATTTGTGTTCCATAATAGGTTTGATTTTGGTGGTGGAGGTCTCTTATTTTTGTCGATGAAAGTTGTTGATCATTGACATGTATGGTGCGGATGAGGAGTTTAGGAAAATTTAACATGGTGTGACATTAGCGGTGACATTGAAAACAAACTGTGGTAAGAGTTGGAACACTAGAATTGATGTTGAGGCGGTAATGAAAGGCCTTGTTTGGTCGATTGGAGGCAGGGATATGTTGGGTGGGGTAGATCGGTTTTGGAGGAAGAATATAATTTTATTTTTTCTTTTCTTTTCTTTCTATTTTCCAATTTAGTCATGTTTTTATATTTTATGGAAATTTTGTTTACCAATTATATCCTTCTAAACCATCCATTAGTTTCATTTCGTTTTCACATACGTTACTTGGAAACGAACAGTTTGTACCTTTTCAAATTCTTCACCAGTCCTCATAGAACCGCACGTAAACTCTCAATGTGTATCTCGGATTCTCTATTCCCAATTCTCATTACCCTTTTACATTTCAATCAATTCGCCATAACTTTGAAGAAAATCCCAGTATAATTCCTTTTTTTTTTTACAGTATCAACAATGGAATACATGGACGAAGATATCGTAGCCCAGTACTTTTACAAAGGCGCGAAAGTTGAGATCAGCTGCAAAGACGAAGGCATTCAAGGCTCTTGGTACGCGGGCACTGTCCTTAGCCACCGAAAATCGAAAAGGAATTCTTGCATGAAGGTGCTAGTGAAGTACAAAACCCTGTTGAACAACGAGGGCACTCGGCGGCTGAGGGAGGAGGTGGACGCGATACATCTGCGGCCGGCCCCGCCGCCGGAGAACCGCCGGATGTTCGAGTCCAGTGAGAATGTGGACGCGTATTACCATGACGGGTGGTGTGAGGGTGTCATAACTGAAGTGTTGGGGGAGGATAAATACAGGGTGTTCTTCCGGGACAGCCGGGAGCAGAGGAACTTTAAGGCTTCCCGGCTGAGGCGCCACCATGAGTGGGTCATCGGGAAGTGGTTCCCGCCTTTGGAACAAGGATACGACGTCTCGCCTCCATTGAAGCAGCCAAAGGTTGAGGTATATTGGTTTTTTGAGTTTTGCATTAAAATGTCATATAATGATCTGTTAGAATGTTTTCAAATGTATATATGCATGCTAACAAATCGATCAATTGCATATATGTAATGTTTTAACAATTTTAACTTGCCTTCTGAATTGTTATTGGACAAATTTTATGAAAGGTGTGACGTTGTTGGTGAATATTCGTGGTGGTCCTCTGTCGAATCTTATAATTTCTAAGAACATTGAATATAGGAAATTTAAGAAACACGTAAGGGGGTTTTATTAGACTTCATACGTTGTGCATTCGAAAATTACAATTTACATAATATATGACCAATTGAGTTTAATAACGTGAACTGAATCTCTTGTTTCTTTTGTATGCTTCTATTCTGTCCGTCTTGATTGATGTATTTGCATTTTCCTATTTTTCTTTGATTGGAAACTTGACAGAATGGGTCATTTGTTACCCCCGCATGAATAACAGTACATAAATTTTAGCTATCGGATTACAATATATGCAGTGTAATTAGACCCTTTGTAGTGAGTGTTTTGTACATCTCTCTTGAACTTACTTTGCCAATATTTGATTTTGCATTCAAGTTTTTTCCTTTTATTAATGAATTAGTTAATAGGCGTTGAATACTTGATGGCTTATTTGAGAACTTGTATGTTTCTGATGAAGACCAATTAGATTAACAGAATTGTTGATAGCTGAGGAGTCTTGAGGGTAGTGGATTAAGTTTCTCAGCTAAGCAACTTTTGAAAAAAAATAAAAATCCAACTCAATTATTTTATTAAAAAAAGCTTATTCCCAACATTTTAGCTTGGACAAGGACTGAAATACTTGGGGAATATTGCATGCTATAACTGAGGTCATGTGCCATAGTTCTTTAAACTGTTCCTAATTTGTTGATTTTGGAACGCGAGTGCATTGTGCCTTGTATGCAGATTCTGTAACTAAATGTCATTCACGAGAGTACTCCTTTTGCAGAAGAGAGCCAATTTAGTTGTCTCTATTGCACTCCATGACTGTGAGCCTGAGGCATGACTGAATGCTTTAGGAGAAATATCGTCTCGGTAGAACCCTAAGATTTATAAATGAAATTACTGTAGCATCCTGAATGGGGCTGTAACTTAGCATATTATGGCGAGGGATTCGGACTTTGAAGGAGTTGATGACACATGATGTCCCCAAATCAAATAGTGATAATATTGAGATTTGCCTAATGAACAAGAAACTTGTGAGTCATTGCTCACTGGTAAGGAAATAGGCTGCACAATCCATGTTACATCTTGGGAAGCCTTAAGTGTCAAAGGAATAAACAAGTGATGAACTGAGCTTTTTCCCTTCCCTACGTTAAAGCACTCTAAGAAACTTGGAATGCCAGCTGTTAGAGGTTACAACACTTTTCTCAAGAAGCATTTAGAAGAATATACCACAACAAGAAGAAAAAGTTAAGCCCTTTATCTAATAACCTCAGGGTTGCTGGATTGATATTTTTTTTTTGCAACTCCACTCAATCCATTGCGTCTAGTCAAAGATTCAACAAATCATTTTTATTTTTTTTGCAACCACATCAATCCATGTTAAGTTTGGCCTACTATTCCTCTTTTTATCTTGTTCTACTAGGATCACTTTGCTGTTAACATGAGCTTTTTTAGCTACACTAAAGATTCTACCTCCTAAGTCTTCCTTCCCTTGTAAGAATATATGGAGAGAACGAAGTCACATGCAGAGTCTTGTAAAGAGTAGATTAATTTAAATTTTCTTTCTTGTCTCGAAGATACAAATATTATTTCTTCATTCGGCCATAATTTTTTATACAAATTTGATAATCATGCTTCCTTGTAATTCATTTCTACTAAAATTATTGCATTTGAAATATGTATTTGAAAAATCCCTATCGTTTACACTCATTGCGAAAATAGTCCCTATCATTTCAAATGGCCATTTACACCCCCACTTCAAACCTTTCTTACTGGGTTGGTCTTTTTCGTCATATTTTGTTAAATCATTCCGTGAAATATGGGTGATTGGAACAAAAAGTCCCATTATTTGTCTTTATTGCACAAATCGTGCTTATTGTTTCAATTTTGACATTTGGGCACTCAGATCGACGTTTCTTTGCACAAAAGGTCTTTATCACCTATTTTCTCCATTAAAGTATTTTAAAATGACTAATTTACTCTCCTCTTTAAATAAACAAGTAGAAAAGAAAGAAATAATATAAAAAAATTGCATCCAGAGTTTTTTTTAAAAGTACAAACAAGACTAAAACATTCTAATAAAAGGAAAATATTTTATCTTCCCAATCAACCAGCCTACCCACCCACCACCACCACCACCACCGAAATAATTAAAAAGATAATTAAAAGTATAAAAAAAATAAGAAAATAATTAAAAATACAAAAAAATGGTACTTCCTCATTCAATTCTGCCATGCCTCAGTAGTCGTCGCTGCTCCCTATCCCACCCTGTCACCATCCAGGAATTTAGCTATTTTCCGATATTCAAGTTTCGTATTCCAATATTTTTTCCTTTTAAGCGAAATTACATAAGTTTTTTAGGGAATCTAGCTATTTTCAGCAAATTTTTATTTCTATGTTCTTCTTGTTGATTACATACACATATATACTTGTATACCCACTGCATTAGCTTTTGAATTTTGTTCCCATTTTGTTCATAGATAAATTCCTATATATGAGGTAAAAGAAACGTAGATGAGGAACAAGCACCATTTTGTTTTATATTTTTGCTTTTCTATTTTTAATTCTTCTTACTTTTTTTTTATACTTTTGATTCCCTTTTTAATTATTTTGGTTGTGGTGATGGGTGGTGGATGGGCATAGTTGTAGATGGGTTAAATTAGTCATTTTTACAATGCTTTAATGGAGAAAATAGACAGTAATGACCTTCTGCGCAAAGAAAAGTTTATCAGAGTGCCCAAATGTCAAAATTGAATTCATAGGGACAATTTACACAATGAAGGCAAACGATAGGGACGTTTTGCGCCAATTACCCACATTTTATGGAAGGCTTTACTGGAACTTGATGGAAAGGACCAACCCCTCAAGAAAGATTTGAAATAAGGGTGTAAATGCCAAGTTTGAAACGATATGGACTATTTTCACAAGAAGTGCAAACAATATGGATTTTTTTACTAATTACCCTTGAAATATATTAGATGCTTGACAGTTATACTCTTGGACTTTTGGTTTATAGACTGGGAATAATTTGTATTTCGGATGGGAATCTTTTATTTGTTTCTTTGGTGAATCCAAGGGTTGGAGCCTACAAATTTGAAGGAGAAACTTAAAAGCTGATCTTAAATAAATTGATAGAGCTATGTTAAATTAGTAAATTTTGAGTTTTGGGTTTCTTAATTCCATTACATTTTAAGACAAAATAAGGGGTATGACTTTAGTGATTAACAAAAATTTAATATGGATGATGATGTTTAAAAATCAGACATAATAAGCACACATAGTATAAGTACTGAGGTCCTACTTATATCTACAGTGATCCCCATTTATTTAAAGATAAATGCTAGATTATTTAAAAAATAAACTTATTATATGCATATATTTCTGCTGAATTCACTGACATTTATATGGTTTTCATTTTGAATTCTTCTTACTCCATTGATTTGGTTGTTGTGAAGAGCATGTTTGGGTGGACTTATTTGATCACATACTTTTTCTCTCTTCTCATAATTAAAATAAGCAAGCATAAGGCCACCCAAACATGCTCGAACTCACTGTCAACTCATTTGAAATGTAGATGAAAGTGGAGACTGTTAGACTAAAGATGGGGTTAAATAGAATACTGCTTGATGAAATTTTCATTTCAAGAAGCTAGCAAATTGATTATTTGAAGTTCGTCCGGGCCATCCTAAAGTGGAGACAAATCAAACTTAATTATCTTTGTAGCAAATCGTCAATCTTTCTTGGGGTTTGTTTCCATGCTTTTTTGGAAGTGATGAGTTACTCTTGTTAATATTGAGAGGGTTTCTAAGATGAATGGACTTAAATTATAGGAGAAGTCTTGTCATTTGAACATTTGAACCTCTTTGCTTTTGTTTATTTTTCCTCTTCTTTTGTTTATTTATTTATTTTGTGAAATTAAATACTTCTGCCTCTCTCTCTGAAAGAATGAAGGTTCAGCTTTCTTTTCTTGGGAAAAAATTGGTAAATATTCTATTATCTCATAAATTTAACTGCAGGAAGTTTCAACCTCAACAAAAGTGAAGTCTAACAAAAGGACAATTGACAATAATTTTAGCCCAGGAGCACCGATAGAAGTCAATAATGACGAAGATGGTTTTGACGATGCTTGGTTTGATGCAACTGCTGTCAAAAAATCAGGAGCACCGGTATCTCAATTTACTCGCATATATATGATTTTTGTTTTCGATTCTTGAATTTTGTTTTTCGAACATTGATTTGGTAATGGTTGAAGTCATTGCCAACTGTTTTGAGTTTAGAAGAAAGTAGAGATAGTTAATGGGGTTGAATGTGCACCGAATGCTGTTTGACTCAGTTTGTATTACAAGAATCAAACATTTCGTGCCTCTAATGATATCTGGGAACAAATTGTCAAATTTTCTTGAGGTTTTGTTTACATGCTTGGAAAGTGTTGAACCACCTCTAAAAGCACGGATATTAGAGATCATTGGACTGAAGATGGGTTGAATGTGCATAAAATGCTGCTTGACAGAATTCACGTTACAAGAATCAAACATTTGTCCTTCTATTGATCTCTGTGAGTCAAATAGTCAAGCTTTTCTAGGGATTTAGTTCCCTTGCTCTTTTTGGAAAGTATTGAACCACCTTTAGAAAACACGGATGAGCAATCAACACATAAAGATGTAAAACAAGAAATGCCAACATGTTATTTTATTTCGTGTCAGAGACATTCCTATTGGGCTTTGTATCCTTGATGTGTGGAGAACATGTTCCTCGTGCGTTAGAAGTTAGAACTATAAAGAATAATGAACAATTGGACATATGGTGTCGTACACGTGCCCAAGGTGTTTCTGGAAAGTGTTTGTAAAATGTTGGAAACAGAAAAAATCAAACTAGGATGCAAGTCCTAGAGTATCGGAGGAGTGTCGGACATGGACATGCCACCCAAGTAGGAGGATCCGTGCTTCATAGCATCTCATCTAAAAGATTGAGCAGTTAGAGATGGGAAGCATTTATTTATTTAAGTTAGTCTTCAACAAGCTTGACACATGAAAATTTTCATTATTAGGTGGCTGCAAGACTTGAAAAAAATGATCTTTGCCATTTCATGTAGAATCACTTCATCCAAAAGTTCACGATGATAGAGAGAGAACATATTTTTTTTATTTAAATGTTATTGGAAAGTGAGTAGTTAATCTCTATTATTGGGATGGTCCCAAAAGGACTCGATAGTATCTAAAAGCATCTCTAAGAGACTGTATTTTTAAAGAGTATATTTTACCATTTAGAAAGTATCTATAAATTTAGAAACATTAATTTTTTAGTACTCTAACATGCTCTTTATATTGACATTTAATTTTACTGCTCTAAAAAAATATTTATTGTTTTCCCTATCTTTTATTTTCACAGGATTTCCTTCAAATTATTATATTATTTTCTTTTATTGAAAATTGAAATACTTTGAATGCATTTAATTATAGAGAGTTGGAGGGCCAAACTTACTCTCTAAATTAAAATATTAATTTAAAGAGTCTATTGGAACATAATTTTAGGGGTTAACTCTTTAAAATAGAGAGTATCTTATATTTAACGAGTCTCTTGGAGTTAAAGGTAGGACTTGAAGTCTTGTCACTTGAACATTTGAACCTCATTGCTTATTTTTTCATCCTTTCCTCTTCTTTTTCTAAACTTAAGTGCTTCTCTCTCTATGTGAATGAACGAAGGTCCAGCTTCCTTTCCCGCCAAAAAATTTTAAAATATGCTATATCTCTAACTTCTACTGCAGGAAGTTTCAACTGAAACTAAAGTGAAGCCTAACAAAGAAAGAAATGTCGATTATTTTCGCCCTGGAGAACCTGTTGAAGTCAGTAGTGATGAAGATGGATATGAAGGTGCTTGGTTTCCTGCAACTATTGTCAAAAAATTAGATAGCGGGTACCTAATTGAGTATCAAACCCTCAGAAACGAAAATGACACAGATTTCCTGAGAGAAGAGGTTGACAGTTTGCATATAAGGCCATGCCCACCCGATATTGAACTACTTGATCGTTTTGAAGTTCTTGACAAAGTTGAGGCTTTGTATGATGATGTTTGGTGGGTGGGTGTTATCTCCAAAGTTCGAAAATATGATGAATACAATGTATACTTTAGGAGCTTCGATGAGGAATTGGAATTTAAGCACTCGCGTCTCAGGGCACATCAGAATTGGATAAATGGGAAATGGGTTTTTGCCCCCAAGGTACAATTTTATGAGTTCAGATTTACATTCTTCTAAACATACCCATATTTATGAAGTCTGCCTTGAAGACCAAATTTAAATAAGCTTCCGTTTGGCAAAATTCATAAATTAAACTTCATTTTCAATTACACATTCCAATGGACCAGAAGTACTGTCCACTTATCCATCACTCAACCGTTGATAAATTCTTCCCAAATGGAGGCTAAATAAATGTAGTTTCTCTCTCTCTAACTGCTTAAACTTTAAATGAGACGGTAATCAGCGAGTCCTTTGGATTATCTAGTTTTTTTTTTTTGCTTTTGTTTTTTTCTCTAAATTAGTTTTGAAAATGTCAATAATTGAATCTCATATAATATAAAGTGGAGATTCATGGACCTGGTATTTTTTCTTTATTACTTCTTCTACTGCATCTCTTGCATCCGCAGTCAGCATTTCACATCAATTTTTGTGTTTGTTCCTGAGTTTTTTACTGACCTTAGGCTGATTGTTCACTTTGCAGGCTCGGGATTTTTAGGCATCAAAATGAGAATGCCCAAAAACTGGAATTTTGCTACATCTGGTAATACATTTTGAACATGTAAATGCTTTTAATCTCTTTGTACCATATCAAAACTTTGATTCGAATGCAGGAGTTTAGATGTACTCTTCTATTGCTAAGGGATAATCATGTTTTTGCGATGTCTTAATTCGTCAGAATTTGGTTATTCGGGTTTACTTACTTGAAACAGCGATGTTTATTACAGCAAAAATCTAAGTGTTGCAATAGCTTCTGGAAAATTAGTTTTCATGATCTTATTCGATGTTCATGTTTTAAGAACTAATTATACAGAAGTACTTAGTAAGTATTTAGCTTGTTTGGTACAACTCAAAATTCAATTAAAATTGAAAATATAGCCGTTATTTGATCTCACTCGTCTAATAAAAGTCAACAATAACGGCTAATTTTTCAATTTTAATCCAATTTTTATCTCTTACATTAGGAATCTAGGAGTGGTGCTTCGATGACACAAATCGTATGCTGCATTGGAATGGCCGCTCTTTTCTTACTAGATGGTTTTAAGGGCGAATTTTACCCAATTTGGTGGTAAAAATTTATATGAACCGATTTCAAGGGTGAGTTCAGCCATGTGAGGTTGTAAGTTGTAACCTGTTTTTAGAATTTCTAGAGTTTGGAATTTTATGAGATCCTGTAAAATATGAGATTACGAAGGCATGCTGAATTTGCTCGAAAAAGTAAGTTCCGTCATGATGTTACCTACTAGTCGTGCCAACCAATTTAGTCGATCCTTATATTGCTTCTGTAAACTTAGGAGGTATGTTCATTTCTGCACATAAAAATCTGGTGTTGTCAATCATTGATATGGAAAGTTACTATCATCTTCTAAATTCTCTCTGCCTGTAACTTGGCGACAAGGTCTGTAAATTTTTAAGTAATGGCTCTAATAGTATTCAACGTCGCTATGCTGATACTTAATATATGGGTTTATAACCCATTGAGCACCTCTGCCTGCGAGTCGATTTAAGGGTGAGTTTTACCTAAAATAGTTACACTTAAAATGATGCCATAGATAAAGAAGATCATAGTTTTTTGTTTTCTTTTAGGTTTACTAAGTGAATTCTCTACGGCATGGAGTGTTCAGTAAGATTGTATCCATGAATTTGCTTAGAGATATACAGAACTAAGATCTAATGCACAGAAATTAACTACGTTGTATTAAAGAATGATAACTTTTTTAATTATCTTGAAGATGTGAACGATAAAGATCCGCCACTCGGTCTCAAAACCATTGATTTCTAGTGATTATTGACGACGTTGCCATCAGCGATGACATTGAGAATGAACGTGACATTTTGATCCCTAATCATCGATAGAGAAGAAGCCACGATGATTATATCGAAGTTGATGCTAGACATTTATTCTTTATTATTTTTTAGTAAGTTATTAGAGGAATTTGCTGTCAATAACTTAAATTTTTTCCTTCTTTTTTCTTGTACAAACATGTGGACTCTGACCTTCAAATCTTGGTACAAACATCATTGACCTTCCACTTAATGGGAGGAATTAGTCCTTTTGGATCTTGTTCCATTAAATTGATAGTTAAAAAGGTCAAAATTTAAATAAAAAGATTAAAATCTTCTTACTTTTAGATAATAAAATAAAATAAAAAAAAGAAAGAAAGTGAAAAAGAATCATGTTTTTTTTAAAAAATATATGATAATAAAAGACTACCAATAATACCAACCAATCCCTCGTACAAGCGTCTTCAATGCAACTGTGAATTTATTTAAAAATTATGTCATATAAACAAAATAAAAGATAATTAAAAAAGTACTTTTCTAATGCAAGCTGATGTGGATTTCATTAAGATGATGTAAGAGAGGATTTTTTTTTTTTTTTGAAAGACTTTCAATTAACATGATACTGATGTCTAATGACTATGAATAGACATTCAACTTCAAAATTGGCTAATGCATTTTATTGTTTTCCATCTAGGTGTCTCTAATTTTTGAAAAAAATAATAACAAAATTACATTAAAATTTGCACATAAATATAATTTTTGTCAAGTTAGCGTATCTAACGAAACTTCTGAGTTTAGATGTAAATCAGAAAAAAAAAATTAAAAAAAATCTATTTTTTCCTTTTTCGTATCGTCTTGAAGGAGTCCTTATCAACTTCTATTAAATATTTTTTTTAACGCATTATGAATGCTTATATTTCACGATTTTTTAAGCAATCCATAGTAACATGGTAGATGCTTTATAAGATATTGGTTAGTAGGGTGAGTTGATTTTCCCATCCGTCTTATATTTTTTTATTTTTCATTTTTACTTGCTTTTTTATTTAACTAATATAATTATATTCTAGTTTTATATTAAAAGTTTGACCTTTTTAATTGTCAAATGGATGAAACTATTCAAAAGGACCAATTGAGCAATCAAGTGAAAAGTTAAGGATGTTTACACCAAAATTTGAAGCTTAAGGACCATTTGCGCAACAGGCCAGTAGGTTAGGGACCATTTGTATCAATGCCTTTATAGTTTCAGGTCACTATACTTCAATTTGCATTCATCGAGCAAATATGCGTCACATTTTTAACCACCACTTATGAATAATAAAAATAGTTACATCCATGTATAAGCGTTTGCAATAAGTTAACATGATCCAAACAGAGATATTGAGCTTGTTTGGGAGGGATTAAAATCAGATTAAAATTGAAAATATGGCTGTTGGAGTTGACTTTTATTAGACGAGTGGGACCCAATAATGACTATATTTTTAATTTTAATTGGATTTTAATCCTTCCAAACAAGCTCATTGTATGGAAGTGCTTAAATTAAAATTTAAACAATAAGTCCCAGGAAATAGAGAGAGGCTAGGTGTACCGGCGGTGGGTGACAAACACCCTGACTGCCCCTCACATTGGGGGGGGCCACATTTTTTTTTCAATTTTTTATTCATGTGGGGCCAGCCATCATGTGAGAGAGTGTCAAATTTTTTTTTTATTACAAGTAGGTTTTTCTAGAAAATATTTAAACAAAAATAGATAATAAATCGTTGCTTTATAAAATATGTGAATAAAAAGTACTTTGAATCAGCTTAAAATATAATTAAAACTTTGCCTAACATAAATATAATGGTCAATTGACACATAAATACATAGAGATCCAATTGAAATTTGGATAAAAGTTGGTACAAAATAAGGAAATTAACCATAAATCCCCCGTGATTGGGGAGATTTTGCAAAATGACATATGAATAGTGGCTTTTTAAGATTTTGGTCAAAATTTAAATAAAAAGATTACAATCTTCTTACTTTTAGATAATAAAATAAAATAAAAAAAAGAAAGAAAGTGAAAAAGAATCATGTTTTTTTTTAAAAAAAATATATGATAATAAAAGACTACCAATAATACCAACCAATCCCTCGTACAAGCGTCTTCAATGCAACTATGAATTTATTTAAAAATTATGTCATATAAACAAAATAAAAGATATTTAAAAAAGTACTTTTCTAATGCAAGCTGATGTGGATTTCATTAAGATGATGTAAGAGAGTTTTTTTTTTTTTCAAGTTTTTATTCATGTGGGGCCAGCCATCATGTGAGAGAGTGTCAAATTTTTTTTTTGTACAAGTAGGTTTTTCCAGAAAATATTTAAACAAAAATAGATAATAAATCGTTGCTTTATAAAATATGTGAATAAAAAGTACTTTGAATCAGCTTAAAATATAATTAAAACTTTGCCTAACATAAATATAATGGTCAATTGACATAAATACATAGAGATCCAATTGAAATTTGGATAAAAGTTGGTACAAAATAAGGAAATTAACCATAAATCCCCCGTGATTGTCCTATTGGTCCGAGGTGCGATGTCCGCAAAATTGAATTGAATCGACGAAGTCGGCCCCGGCCCAGATCCAGCCCATAGACAGGCCCGGACGGCCCCTGACCCCACACAACGACTTCAAGATTCGTCACCCCCCCCCACTCCCGCAATCCTGACTCACGATCTCCCTGTTTGGTGTATTTCCTCCACTTTATTTCATCATCCCTTTCTGTGCGACAGTTCGTCAAGCAGATTGCGTAAACCCAGGGGAAAGTGATTAAGGGGAGTAAAATCGGAGTTGAGTTTTGCGAAAATGTCGCTGCGGCCAAGCAACAGAGCGGATGTGCGGAAGAAGGGGTACAAAATCGGGGTGGACGGTGAGGAGGCGCGGCGGAGGAGGGAGGACAATATGGTCGAGATCAGGAAGAACAAACGTGAGGACAATCTCCTCAAGAAGCGACGCGAGGGACTATTGAACAACAACTTCCAGCAACTGCAGCAACATTTTCCTCTCGATCCCTCCCAAGCTCCTGATGTTGTGGTGAGAAAGGTAATAATAGTAGAGTACTACGACTTTTACTTGCTATTAATATGATTATAGTGGTTAATATATGATATTATGTGTTGCTACTTAGTGATCTATATTGGTTGTTATTAGTGAAATGGGATTTAGAGTGGATGTGTGAAATGGTTTTTGGTTTGAAG